GCAATAGTTTGGAGGGACTTTGTAGCAAGGGGCTTCTTTTTGTTGTATTTTCTTTTGTATAGCCATGGGCTTTATTTGTATTGAGCTCGTCTCACTTTTGTTGTAACCAAGTTAAGACTTGGAAAGATGTAAGCTTTTAGGGCATTTAATACCTGTTTAGCTTTCATTCCTCCTTACTACTTGTTGCACATGATGTAGATTCAGGATGAACAATTTATGAATGTATATCGCATGTGTCACTTTTGCATATCAATTCAGATTAATAAAAGTTTATTATTTCAATTATGTGGTCTTGCGCTAATTGTGATTGGGTTAAGTTATTGTAATTATTTCGGGGCGTTACAGAGAATTTAGTATATTTTGTGATAATATTCACAATGTTGAGCATGCCCTTATATAGGCATCTTTGGCAAGACATATGGCAAGGCCATGTGTACCTCATGGTTTCCAAAACCATGTGTCCCTCATGGTTACACCAAATTTATGAGACAATTTCTCACTCAATTCTTAATGATTTTTGGTCATTCCTTTTTTGTGGTATAGAGATCTTGTTACAAAGAATCTAGAATCAAAGTCACCAAAATCCCATTTTTTCCTACATTTTCTTCTTGGGTAAGAAATTAGAAAATATTGAAAAATTATTCATGTATCTATTTTAACAATTATACTCTAATAATATGCAAAATTATTACAATTTCAGTTTCATAATAGTTTGGATATGTGACCTAGATTATCCAGATAGTATGCAATACTTCTCAAAATTGGCATCAAATATTAGATACGTATTAGGAAGTATTGGATACATAACCGCCAGTATCCAAGGAGTTTCGGTATCTAATATGGGTACAATATGTTGGAAAATTGGTTTATATAAGCTTATTTTGGGCCAACTTTGAGCCTAAAATTGAATGGGTCACAAACATCTTTTGGGGTGGGTTCGAAGAGGTGACATATTCCTTGTCGCATGGTAAGTCATACGGTGAAGACAGTTCGTCAAAACCATTTATGAGTGAATAGGAAGTTGACGTCGTTTTCGGGTTCATGGAATAGGAAATTAAAAAAATTAATGTGGGTGTCCTTGTAAGGCTTGTCCCACATTGAAACTTGAAGAGAACTTATGCATGTATATAAGTTCTAGGTGGCAACACTTGGGTTGGGCTTCAACGTGCACCCCAAGTTTGTAGAAGGAAGGAGTTATGGACAAAGTGAACTTTAGCTCAAACCACCAGACGCGCAGCCGTTCGATCGGTTGGCTCGGCTGAGCCGTGCCAGGCGCAGGTATAGGTTGTGGGTCGGGTCGATTTTAATATTAATTTATTGGAATTTTTTTCCAAATTTCTTGCGGAAAAAATTAATTTAAATTTTGCACCAATGTGATTTGAATTTGAATTCAAATTTTTGTCAAAAATTTGTGCCTCTTTTCAGATATGAATTCCACTAATTTCCCAACTGTTTTTACAGTTATAAAACTGCCAATAATTGCCCAGTTGAACCAGACAAATTTTTTTACCAGTCCAAACAGATTCGAGTTTTTCAACAGGTTCAAAGCTGGGTTCATACAGGTTTTGCACCTGTCCAGTTTGAAATCATACCTATTCAGGTTTGAATTCATACCTGTTCAACCCTATAAAAACATACCATCTTCCAACATTTTTATTCAATCCGAAATACTTCTTCTTGCCTTCCTTTGTGCTCCTTTGTATTATCTATTCTTTTTATTATTTTAGGAGAAATATTTGAGAGTATAGAACTTAGGTTTGGTTTGCTGTACAAATTGTTTGGAGTGCTACTACAATTTGTGAAGATCATTGTATCTTGAGAGATAGACGCCATTTGTCTGTAGAGGGGCGAATCTGTCTTAAGGATAGAGTGTCACACACTTGACTTGATCTTTCAAATTTAAATTCGGTTTGATAAATAAATTCTGTAAGTAATTTATTTTTATTTGTTTGATTTGTTTCAATTATTTATTGTTCATAGAAGATTGTTCCAACAATCTTGAGACAGATTCGAATAATTCTGTTTATACAGAATTTTTCGTTTGTTTCCTTTTCTCTTTCTTCTTCTTACGGAAATTATTTTATGTGGTTTTACAAAATAATATTCTGGTTGGAAAAACAAATAGTTGTAATATACTATTTAATATATAGTAGTTATATACTGTCTATTTTCTTTGACAACTAGTAATAATATACTGGTGCAATTAACAAATCAAAATATTTATTTGTGAAGTTTGGCAGAAATTAATTTTGGTTTCAAGAAATTATTTCTGAGTGTTCATTAATTAAAATTCTGTTTCAGTATTTTAATTATTGAAGTATTATAGAAATTAATTTTCTGTGTGTAATTAATTTGGTTAAATAAAATTTTATTTTATTTTCAAATTATTTAAAAATAAAAGTTACAATTCTTGTTTCTTTTATTTTAACAGAATTTAATTCTGTGGTTTTGGTTTAAATTTTATGTGTAGTATAAAATTTTATAATTTAGAATTCATGGCTACTGAAATTGATCAAACTAATGCTCAAACAAGTACTAGTATGGTGGCTGCAATTGTGCCAACCCCCTCTCCTGTTGTGATTGTGCTAGTTAATCACGGTGAAAAGCCAGAGAAGTTCTCAGGAACTAATTTTAAAAGATGGCAGCAGAAAATGCTATTTTATCTTATAACTCTGAACCTGGCTAGTTTTCTCCGTGAGGATGCTCCTACTCTGAAAGAGGATGAAACTGACCAGAAAGTGGTTACTGCGGTCGATGCCTAGAAACATGTTGATTTCCTTTGTCGAAATAACATCTTGAACGGACTTGACAGCATATTGTACGTCTACAGTTTCTATCAAAACGGCAAAGGAATTTTGGGAGTCTTTGGAGAAAAAGTACAAAGCAGAAGATGTTGGCTCAAAGAAATTTGTGGTTGGCAAATTCCTGGATTTTATGATGGTTGATTTTAAAACTGTGATCAGCCAAGTTCAAGATCTCCAACTCATTCTGCATGACATTCATGCAAAAGGCATGTCTCTCAGTGAATCCTTCCAGATTGCTGCCTTAATTGAAAAATTACCACAAGGCTAGAAGGAATTCAAGAACTACCTCAAACACAAGCACAAAGAAATGTCTTTAGAGGAATTAATTGTGCGTTTGAGGATTGAAGAGGACAACAGCAAATCAGAGAAGCGGGCTGGTAAGCATCCAATGGAGTCTAAGGCAAATGTGGTGGAAAATGCTCCAAAAGAAAAGAAACGAAAGTTTTCTGAAGAAAGTTCCGCATAAGGCTCTAAAGGGGGGGGGGAATAAGAAGTACAAGTTTAATGGCAAATGTTACATCTGTGACAAAGAGGGACATCAAACCAAAGATTGCCGTAGCAAACGCAAAGGCAAATAAAGAGCAAGCAAGAAGCCTGCTCAAGCCAATATGACCGAAGTGGACAAAATTTTCAATAGGGTCGATGACATAAATCTTTCTGTAGTTATTTCCGCGGAAAACTCCTAAAGAATAGTGGGTGGATACTGGTGCTACTCGCCACATCTGTGTCGACAAAAAGATGTTCACATCTTATTCAGTAGTGGACAATGGTGAACAACTTTTTATGGGCAACTCCTTAACTTCTAAAGTTGAAGGACAATGAAAGATTATTTTGAAGATAACATTTGAAAAGGAACTCACTCTCAACAATGTACTGCATGTATCAAACATTTGCAAGAACCTTGTTTTCGAATCTTTGTTGAGTAAAAATGGGTTTAGGCTAGTTTTTGAAAGTGACATGTTTGTACTTACCAAAAACGGGATGTATGTAGGAAAATGTTACATGATTGATGGCCTTTTCAAAATGAATGTAATGACTGTTGTACCTTCTGTTATTAATAAAAATACATCTTCTTCTTACTTGCTTAAGTTTTCAAATTTATGGCATGGTAGACTTGGATATATTAATTATGGATCTTTGCGTAGATTAATTAATATGGAATGTTTACCTAAATTTGACATTGATTTAAATCATAAATGTGAAATTTGTGTTGGAGCAAAATTATCCAAAACTCCTTTTCATACAATTGAAAGAAGTACGGAACCACTTGAATTAATTCATAGTGACATTTGTGATTTTAAATCAATTCAAACTAGAGGTGGAAAAAAATATTTTATCACTTTTATAGATGACTATACTAGATATAGTTATGTTTATTTAATTCGAACCAAGGATGAAGCTTTGGAAACTTTCATTGGATATAAGAATGAAATTGAAAATCAACTTGGTAAGAAAATTAAGAAACTTATAAGTGATAGAGGTGGTGAATATGAATCACCTTTTGGTGAATTTTGTAAAGAACATTGAATAATTCATCAAACCACTGCTCCTTACTCACCTCAGCAAAATGGAATTGCTGAAAGGAAAAATAGGACTTTAAAAGAAATGATGAATGCCATGTTAATAAGTTCTGGATTACCTCAGAACATGTGGGGGGAAAGCAATACTTTCTGGTAATTATTTTTTAAATAAAGTACCCCAAAAGAAAGTGAATCAAACACCTTATGAATTGTGGCATGGGAGAGTACCATCCTACAAATACTTAAAAGTATGGGAGTATTTGGCTAAAGTGATTATTCCTAGTCCTAAAAAGATGAAGATAGGTCCTAAAACTATTGATTGCATTTTCATTAGTTATGCCAAAAATAGTAGTGCATATCGGTTTTAGATTCCTAAATCAGAACATTCTGAAATGTATGTAAATACTAGAGGTGTGCAGCGGATGGCCCGACCCGCTACACCTGCCCGACCCAACCCGGCCCGCTGAGTTTTGGGTGGATGCGTGACATGTGGCGGATGGATACGGGTCCACATTTTCCATTTTCTCGGGTTCGGGTCGAGTCGCGGGTAATCTGCCAATTTAATCTGTTCACCCGACCCGCCCGCACCCTCACTTATTTTCCCCCTTTCCCCCCCTGTGTTGCCTCCTTTTTTTTTTTCATTTCACGTTTTGTAGCCCTAGGTTCTTCAACATGTCTCTGTCTCTCTCAACTCTCTCTCTCTCTCTCTCTCTCTCTCTCTCTCTCTACTACCCTACCCATCGTCGGACGATCTACATACACGGCGTCGGCGATCATCTGCACGGCGTCGGTGATCGATCTACATGGCGTCGTTGGCGATCGATCTAGATTCTACACTACTGACTGAGGTATCTCTCTCTCTCTCTTCTTTCCTCTTCTTCTCATCTTCTTCTGCTTTCCTCTTCTTCTCTTTTCTTCTCTTCTTCTGATGATTTGAGTCTAATCTATTTTTTTTTTTTGTTCCAGTTCTAAAACGAAATAGATGGTTAGATTGATCGATCTACAGTCTACTAGTCCACATTGACTGTAACTGAACTGAGGTACCTCTCTCTCTCTCTCTTTCCTCCTTCTTCTTCTTCTTCTTCTTCTTCTTCTTCTTAACTGGTTTTTTTTTGTTACAGTTCTAAACTTCTATATCTAATCTTTTAGAGTCTAATCTATTATTATTATTTTGTTTTGTTCCAGTTCTAAACACAGAGAAATGTTCTTCTGTGCTATATGTTTGATGTGCGTGTATTTTTTACACAGGTTGAGCCTGCAAAAAAGACACAAAATGGCAAGCAACAGTCAATAGGGAAGATTATCCACAAAGGTATGAAATGGCAGTAATGAGTTTCTTCTTTATGGCTCTTTATGGGAGCTAATTTGCAATGTGTCTTATAGGCACTGATGGTGGTAATAAAAGAGCTTCTAGCTCTGCCAATGTTAATCTGCCGTTGAACTTAGAGACCTCCAAACGTGGTTCTTGTATATTTGGATTTCACATTTGTTAATGAGTAATGGTTGATGTTGATTTTTTAAATAGGTTGTAGACAAAATTCGTCGTGATGAACGTGTGAGTGTTTTAGAACGGAGAAATTTGAGATATCTTCCTGGACTTCCACGGAAAGTTGACTTGGTAACATTGAACCTTTCATTCATTTCTATACTTTTGGTGAGCTTTTAGATAGTGCTGAAATGATCTTAACTTGCATCTGTATATTTTTCCAAGCTGTTATTTATGACCATTCTTTGGTCTTCATTTATAGATAGAGCCTCAGATTTTCTGCATGCCTTCTAAAAGGCAGTCCATTTCTTTCTTTAGTAGAGTAGTGAAATTTCAACATTCTCCATTATTATTACCATGATTTTATTAATCACTATCTAGGTTTTTAGTCCTATTAAAGCTATGCTTGGATCATGGATTTGGAAAGAGAATGGAAAAGGTGAGGGAGATAAAGAAAAAATTTAGCTTATATTTCGTTCACATTTATGAAATCTGTGATCCAAACACAGCCTAAAGGTTTGTTTCATTTTGTTCCTCTGTTCCTAATTTAACCCTAAATGCAGGTCATGCCTGCTGTGGTCAATGTAATGAAGGAAGAAGCTACATTGGTTACTCTGATTAAACCCCAATTTGAGGTTCCCAGATCTCAAGTAAGAATTTATACATTTTTTCAATTTTATTTTTTTTAGTGAAATTGCCCTAGTTCTAGGCTGGTTTTCTGTTCTTTGCAATTACTTATATCAAGCTGAATCAGATTATATTTAAATAGGATTACTCTTGAGCTGGAGTTGAGGTTTACCATTTGAAATGGCTTTGTCAAGATCTAATAAAAGGGATCTTTCTTTTGTTCAAAGCCTCTGATAAAGATAGGAACTCATAGATTAGATTTCTAAGAGGTCCTGCTCAAGCATGGTTTGATACAAATAATAATAAGGCCAATGGGCAGGTCATCATGGAAAACAACAAAAAAATGAATAAAGAATAAGCACATGTTTGCATGTGTGCTCTTCTACAAAAGAAATAGACCAGGAAGGGCAAGAAGAATTTGTGGTTTACCACAAAAAGGAGTGTAGATCCTGGTGTGAAGTGTAAACATAGAACAGAGTGCCCTGTGTAAAACTAATTCATTATAGGCCAGTCATATATATTGTTTGATGGACTAATAAAATTATTTTTGTACCGCTTTATGTATACCTAGTTTATGGCATTTTTCGGGTTCGGGTGGGGTGGCTGTTTTTTTTTGTTTTTTGTTGAAAATTTGTAAAATTTCAAACCGCCAAACCGATACGTATCCATCCGCCAATCTGCCAATCCACCAAATCCGCATCCGCCGGATTGGCGGACAGATGCAGATTGATTTTCTCCAATCTGCCAATTTGGCGAACAAATGGCGGATTGGAGGTTTTGTGGCCGCAACCGATCCGCGCCCACCCCTAGTAAATACTATTATTGAATCTCGAAATGCATCATTCTTTGAACATGTCTTTCCAAACAAGACTGGACAAGAGACTAGTACTAAGAAAAGATCTCATGATGCTATTACTAGTCAGGATCAAGAACAATAGCAAGAGCAATGAATAGATCAAAATGAGGAAGAGGAACATAGGTGTAGTAAACGTGCTAGAACCTCAAAATCTTTTGGTCCAGATTTTCTAACTTTTTTGTTAGAAAATGAGCCCTTAACTTTTAAAGAAGCTATGTCCAGTCCTGAGGCTCCTTTATGGAAAGAAGCTGTAAATAGTGAAGTTGAATCCATCTTGCAAAATCACACTTGGGAATTGGTGGATCTACCACCAGGTTGTAAACCTTTTGGGTACAAGTGGATTTTCAATAGAAAAATGAAAGAGGATGGATCAATTGAAAAATACAAGGCAAGACTTGTGGTAAAAGGTTTTAGACAAAAAGAAGGTCTTGATTACTTTGACACATACTCACCAGTTACCAGAATAACATCAATTAGAATGCTAATTACCATTGCATCTTTGTACAATCTAGAAATTCATCAGATAGATGTGGAAACCGCTTTCTTAAATGGTGAGTTAGATGAAGAAATTTACATGGAACAACCAAAAAGATTTTATGTTCCAGGAAAAGAAAAGAAAGTATGTAAATTGGTTAAATCATTATATGGTTTAAAACAAGCACCAAAACAATGGCACGAGAAATTTGACAAGGTAATAATGCCAAATGGTTTCAAAATTAATGAATGTGACAAATGTATTTATATTGAAAACACAGACAAAGGCTATGTTATAGTATGTCTTTATGTAGATGATATGTTCATCATAGGTTGTAATAATGAAATGATTAAAACTACCAAGAAAATGTTGAATAAACATTTTGACATGAAGGACATGGGGATTGCTGATGTAATTCTTGGTATGAAAATTACCAAAACATCAGAAGGTAATGATTTGTCACAATCACTTTACATTGAGAAAATACTTGACAAATTTAGTAAAGATGATGATCATCTTGCTAGAATACCTGTGGATGTTAATTTGTTTCTTTCTAAAAATGTACAGGAAAGTATTTTCAATTAGAGTATGCCCAAATTATTGGAAGCTTAATGTACTTGATGAACTGCACTCGCCCAGATATAGCCTATGCAGTAAGTAAATTAAGTAGATATACGAGTAATCCAGGAGTAGAACACTAGAAAGCAATTATAAGGGTTCTAAGATACCTCAGATTTACTCGTAACATTGGGTTGAATAATACTAGATATCCAACAATACTTGAAGGATACTATGATGCAAATTGGATATCGGATACTAGAGACTCAAAATCCACCAGTGGGTATGTTTTTACTCTTGGTGGTGCAGCTTTATCTTGGAAATCTTCCAAACATACTTGCATTGCTAGGGAAAACTGGGGAAGAAGCAGAATGGCTTCGCCACTTCCTTGAAGATATTCCAATGTGACCAAAACTGGTGCCTACTATATGCATACATTGTGATAGTCAATCTGCAATTGGTAGAGCACAGAGTCATATGTATAACGGTACGTCACGACATATTCGTCATCGACATAACACCGTGAGACAACTACTCTCTAATGGAATTATTTCCATTGCATATGTGAAGTCTAAAGACAACATAGCGGATCCACTAACCAAAGGGTTAGCAAGACAGTTAGTTGAGAATTCATCAAGGGGAATGGGACTTAAGCCTATTAAATAAGCCACAACGGCAACCCAACCTAGTTGACTGGAGATCTCAAGATCTAAGTTCAAAGAGACAACCGAGTTGTGTATGACTTAGAAGGATCACTGGGAAATCAAATTCTTATCCATTTCTATGATGAAATAGTGATGTCTGCAGCGTTTTAGGTTAAGTAATACTTTTAATGATTCTTATATCTAGGTATACCTAGTGGAGTATGGCATGATACTCTTCATAAGAATTACCTATATGAGTGTGAACTGGGCCGGTTCTATGAGATTTGTGAAGGGTTACAATTCTCTAGAGCACCCACGAAAGACCAGGTTGTTCAAGGCCAAAATGAACACAACAGTGAGAGCTAAACTGTGTTTGGTAATATACTGTGTGAGTTCTATTGTCTTGGTTTACACAAACGGCTGAAGAGTTCAAGACATCATGTTCACTGGTTAGCTAGTAAATCCAATAGTGTCTCACAAGGGAAGGTTCAAAGCCAAAAGATACATATCCTTTGCAAAATATTTCCAATTTTTGTACTTTCAGTAATTAGATAATGGTGTTGCATTTTCTCTCCGTCAAATTCCATTCATGTGGGGGATTGTTGGAAAATTGGTTTTCATAGGCTTATTTTGGGCCAACTTTGAGCCCAAAATTGAGTGGGTCCCAAATGTCTTTTGGGGTGGGTCCAAAGAGATGACGTGTTCCTTACCGCATGGTAAGTCACACGGTGAAGACGGTTCATCAAAATCATTTATGAGTGAATGGAAAGTTGACGTTGTTTTCGGGTTCCTGGAATAGGAAATTAAAGAAATTAATGTGGGTTTCCTTATAAGTTTGTCCTACATTAAAACTTGAAGAGAACTTATGTGTGTATATAAGTTCTAGGTGGCAACACTTGGGTTGGGCACCAAGGGGCACCCCAAGTTTGCAGAAGGGAGGAGTTATGGACAAAGTGAACCTTAGCCCAAACCACCACACACGCGCGTGCGTGCCGCCGTCCGTCTGACCGGCCAAGTCGAGCCAAGCTGTGCCATACCGGGCATGGGTGTGGGTTATGGGTCGGGTCAGTTCTAATATTAATTTTTTGGACAAAATTTATTTGAATTTTTTCCAAATTTCTTACGGGAAAAATTAATTTAAATTTTGTGCCAATGTGATTTGAATTTGAATTCAAATTTTTGTCCAAAATTTGTGCTCTTTTCAGATCTAAATTCCACTAATTTCCCAACTTAATTTTCAGTTTATAAAACTGCCAATAACTGCCCAATTGAACCGGATAGATTTTTTACCAGTCCAAACAGATTTGGGTTTTTCAACAAGTTCAAAACTGGGTTCATACAGGTTTTGCACCTATCCAGTTTGAAATCATACCTATTTAGGTTTGAATTCATACATGTTCGGCCCCATAAAAACATACCATCTTCCAACATTTTTGTTTAATTCGAAATTGTTCTTCTTGCCTTCCTTTGTGCTTCTTTGCATTATTTATTATTCATATTACTTTAGGAGAAATATTTGAGAGTATAGAACTCAGGTTTCGTTCACCGAACAAATTGTTTGGAGTGTTACTACAATTTGTGAAGATCATTGTATCCTGGGAGATAGACGCCATTTGTCCGTAAGTACCGTAGTAGGGAGAATATTTCTTAAGGACAGAGTGTCACACACTCGACCTGATCTTTCAAATTTAAATTCGGTTTGTTAAATAAATTCTGTAAGTAATTTATTTTTATTTGTTTAATTTGTTTCAATTTATTTATTGTTCACAAAAGATTGTTCCAACACAATATAGATACAATTTTCTTTTATTTGTGCTATGAGTCCAAGAAAGGAAAATGAAAAAAGTTTGGTTTTGAAAGGTTTTGGAGCTATACTTCTTTGATTATTAATGTTGTCATTTTTCTTGCATCATTGAATGGGATTCATTTTCAACTGATTTGAAAAAGATAATACCTGATTATGAATGTTTTGTATTCACACCTTTAGAGTGGAGACTCCACTAACTTTTTGAAAGGTTTTGGTAGTATACTTGATTTGATTGTTGTTGTTGTTTTTCTTGCATCATTGAATAGGATGTGTTATAGATTGATCTGATAGATAAGACTTGAACTAACACCACCTATAGAGTGGAGACTACATTTGGGAGATGGTGTTCTCTTTTCATAGTTTGTTGAACAAGAAATGAATTATTCAAGGAGGATATTAATACTTTTTGTTTTGGGGGTTTACTTGGATATGACTATAACTATAAATGTTGTTGTTCTTATCAATCAGAAAAGGGAAAACAAAAAAATATGTAGAATATGATACATACAAATACAATCGGAGTTTAACTGGAAAATTTTGTTTCACTTTCATAATCTATTTTTTGAATTTTTTTTGAATAAAATAGAAGCTAGTCTAACAAAAATAAGCACCAAAAAGGTATTTTCAAATTTTCAAAGAATATTTTTGTCTCCCCAAAATATAAAACCATGTGAAAATGATGAGTATTTTTCATTTTTTACGCCAAATTAGTTTTCAGATTATTTGAATTTTTCTTTTTTAGAAAATTTATTCAAAAAATCAAACCAAAGAGAGACTTGTTGGCTATTTTCCAAAGAAAAAATGAATATGCTTTTTTGGAAATTTTGTGTGATATTTCAATTGTTGATCCTAATATCTTTAGGCATTAAAGGATTTGCCTCGAGAAAATGTTCAGTTAACTACAAAATTTGGAATTGTCAAAATGGAACCTACTCAAGTTGTGGTGAAGGATACCGTTGAATATGTGAACTCTTGTTGTGAGGCTAGTTTGAAGCACCTTGGTGTGGACTACATTGATCGCTACTACGTACACCGGATTGACACATCAGTACCTATAGAGGAGACTGTAAGTTTCTTGTTTATATTTACCATTTACCAATGCACCTCAAGTCTAGTTCGTAGTTATAAGTTGGCTTTTTTTCTTGGTTGTGTTTTTTTTTTTTTTTTTTATTTAACTTTTTTCAACTTTGAGTTGTTTTTTTATGTACTTTTTAAATTCATCTAGGCTAGGGTGGTTATAGGCTTGATGGCCCAACCAGCTCAATCCATTCTATGGCTTGAGATAGATATTTGGCCCATGAGTAAAGCTGAGATTTTGAGCTTGTTTACTTTTTGGGATGGGCTTGGCATGAGTAATTCTAGCCTGGCCCCACCATTTATAATATATTTAAAGTCCATTGAAGAACCCCCCAAAAAAACCAACTTTTTAGGCAAATTTTTTTTTTTTGAAAACTACTAATCATGCATTAGTTTTTTCGTCTATAGTGTATTTTTTTTCAAAAAATTTCTTTTTCATTTTCATTTTTATTTTTTGTAAGGATTGTCTTGTTTAGATGAACCCAAAAAGTAAAAATCTTGAATCATTATTGAAGTCAATAAAAAGTTGAAAAAAAATCCCAAAAAAAACAAATGGGATGCCATAGTTTTTTTTCTTCTTCTTTTTGACAATATGGACAACTGTCTTATTGAATTTTTTTTTCTTTTGTTCTTTTTCATAAAAAGAATGGTACTCTTGCAAAATGCGTTGATTGTGAAATTGTTAGATAAGTAAGTTAGCTTTCCATTTATGTGTGATCGTTTAAAACAGATGTGGGAAGCTATGGGAGATGTGAAGGTTGTGGATCTGGGATCAGATTTCTTTTTGGTAAGGCTTTCCAGTAGAGATGATTATGATTGTCTATTCGGAAATGGCGTCCATAATTTCGTCCCTCGGAGGTGTCTTACTAAACAAGTTCTCTTCAAAGGCTATCACTACAATCAAGGTTTCAAAAAGCGGTTGTGGTGGTGTTGGGGCGATTGCGGTTGCGGGGTGTAAAGGCCGTAGCGTAACGGTTGTGGTAACCGGAACTATGAATTTTTTTATTTTTCACACAATTTGAAAGAAAGTTACACGATATGCATATATATATATTCAAAGTCACATTTATTGGGGTTTAAAATAGATTTTGATCAATATTTGTTAGTTTTTAAGTATGATCCAATACATTTCATATTTTTAAATCACTATAAAAAGAGCTTATTACATTTTATTTCAATAGCTAATGACTTTATATGTCATATATCCATATTGTACCTCTTATTTTTATTTATTTTTTAAGAATAATTGATTTTAAATGTCTACAAAATTATTTTTGGCCAATTCCTGAACTAACTAAATAAAACATGTTTACAATTATTAAATGAAATGATTATAAAAATAAAAATTGAGACTTAAACAAAAATTATTTTTAACCTACTGAATATTGCAGAATGTACATAATGTATATTTTGTAAGCTTTTTTTTTTTTTATAAACGAAAGTTGTTCAAAATATTGTAAATGTGTGTAACGGTGTGTAACGAACCGTTACGGCTATTACGCGTGGGGTGTAATGTGTAGTGCCTACCGCCGCAATTGTTACGTAACGGCCGCAACCATTACGTAACACCGCTTTTTGAAACCTTGATTGCAATGGTCTTTAACAGCTTTCTACTTCTCAGTCTATGTCTTTTCCTTAAACCTTGCATTCGATCTTTCTAAAAGCATTCTCATTTTGCCAAGCAGAGAAAGCTTTTAAGAAGTTGTTCAGAGCAAGAAAGTCGTATGTAGTGAGGTACGACCATGCTGTTTATACCTATAGGACTTGTACGTTTGCGGAAAACTCAATGTGAGATCAGCAACAAATGATATTCTATGGTTACGGAATAGGTGTTCCACGCATTAGTCGACTTGCACTCATTATATACATCCATGTTAGGAATGGCATTACCAATAGAATCATTTAAAGAAATAGGACTACTTATTGTAAAGAAAACGTCTTCTGTTGGAATTTGATTATTTGGCATTTTCATGATATAACCTATAGTAAACTTACAATACTCAAACTAATTCCGCACTAATACTGAGTCGTCGGACTTATCCACCAAGGGATTCATGGAATTTCTGTGGATTGCGTTAGGGGAAATCTACCAAAGCTAGGCAGATAGATAGACTCTTTTCCCGCTGCTAATGGAGAGCAAAAAACTCGAAACAAACGTGATCTCACACGAGAGGGCTTATAACTCTTGTCTTCCACTAATAAAATGGGGATTCCTTACCCATTACACAGGTTCAACAATTTCATTTGATTCCAGACAAGAAAGGGTAGGAACAATTCAAATTGACTATAGTGGACATACAGATATACTTCCCGATCAACTGCGCAAGAGGAGAGTAGACGAAGTGCTATGGTGCATATTCTAATTTTGGGTCACTTTGCCATTCCTAGTCCATAGGATGGTAAGCCTATCCAGGGTCAGCTTGGTGATAAAAGTGGCAGTGTGCTCTGATCTAATCAATAAGGGTCTAAGTGAGGACAAAGACGGTTTGGAGATTCAGTTACAAGTCAGGCTTGTATTGCGGCATCTGCAAAGGGGTCAAGGCATGCACCTCTAAGAGCACTCAATATGAAAGATAGATAGAAAGTGCCTGATTAAGTGCTAGACTCGCCCCAGGCCCCCAATGGGTACGATTAGCTCTCTCTAAGAGAAGGGTGATTTTCTAGATAATCCCTAAGGCGCCTTTCTCTTGTAGGCATCCCAAACTCGGAGGGCCTTTTGTTTTTGTTAGGATGGACCTACGATTGCCTTTCCAGTACTAGAAGTTGAGCAAAGGAGCTAGAAGTTGAGCAAAGGGGCCCATCCCTTCTATAGGATTGGCCATGGATTAACTTTTATCGTTTGAATATCCTACGGTTCTTTATACAAAAAATCCCACAACTCCAACATCTGAGCCACCTCCCAATCATGTAACGGCCGGTGCAACTGAATATCCCAAACCACCACACCCCTCCCCCCCAAAGAGAACTTTGACTCTTATGGTTCTAATTCTTAGTTTGCTACCCTACCTACGAGCATATCTAGTTCAAAAAAGACATAAGATGGGAGGGCATGAGGTGGAAAAAGCAGAGTATACCAGATGCTTTTTGCCATGATATGCCAGGGTCGATGAGCTAGTGAGGTAACACAAGGCTGGTGCAGACTACTATGGGGGAAGAGTTTTAGTTCAAGCTACCTAAACTAACTTCTTTTCACTCGAATTCAACTTCACTGCTCTTAGAGTGAGAAAAGGGAGTCGGCATCAAAACTCTATCTATGTATTATAGGTTTTGTCTTTAGCCTTGACACCAATTGAATGAGAGAGAAAGTGATGAAAGAAAGCCACCATTTTGGGGTATAAATCGAGGGATGCTTAACACCACATTGCCAACTGGCGTTACCTGCGCTTTCGTCTCTCTCAGTGTGGTCAGCAGTGAGTGTTTCCAAGTAGCGAGGCTTACACCCATTCGCATTAGTTCATCCAAAGTTCCCAGGTCTATAATTAATGTAATTCATAATTTGACTTCATAACTTGGGCGATAACTCATTTACTTCTAGTTTTTAATGAAAAAAGCTAAGGATTATGATAAAGAATTGCTATCAACTATATTCATTCGATTGTATTTGGTAGGCGTGTAGGAAAAAGAGTTACCTCTTAGCCATTGTCTGCCTCTCCAAGTTTCTACTACTAAGTGGCACTTCTACTATTCAATCATAGAAACGATTCCGATCAAGCTGAAAAAGCCTTGTAAGGTAGTGAAGTTCAAACTGCTCTTACGCGATTAGCAGGACAGGAGGGAACAACCTTAGAGTGATTCAGTTGATATAGAGGCTTGACTACTACAATGGAAAGTTCTGAAAGAACAGATTAGATGTGATTACCAATTGGCTTACTACTGGTTAGCTTGACTTTGAGGTGAGATACTTATACTTCTTTTACATTTTCTATTGGGTTTTCATTTCTTCCCCCTTTTTTGAATTAAAGAGATTGTATACTGTGGCTCAGCTTTTCATGCTCCTTTCAGAGACGACTAGCTCCACAATTCAGACTCCCATGGTTCTGAATCTGATCTCACAAGTGCAATGTGAAATAGATAAACACTAAAGAGTCCAAATTTGACAAATCTTTTGGAAAATCGATTATGAATCAAAATGCCAAAAATGGACTGCTTTGCCAGATACAGAGTTTCCATCTAATTTTTTTTTGAAAAATTTAGGAAACCCGAGACTCGTGCTAAAGGCCACTTACCTATCATCACCAAAGTGTCTCAGCTCAGGAACTTAGGTACGAGAGGGGAAGGTCATGAATTGAGCACCCCACTCACCTGATCAAAAGATCGGCCTCTACTAATCATTTATATGATTTGTATCTACATTATATGCTCTTTGTTCTGATTATTAGGCTAGCATTACTATGTGTTGCATACAAGTATAGACTAATTTCCAAAAATTGGAATATTTGATTTCAAGTTTGTATTGAAAATTGTTTTTTGAACACTTTGTCACCTGAAAAAGCGAGCTCGTGTGTACATTTGATCAAACTATCCCAATTCAAGCAATTAGCCTTTATCCACAGGGCATTCAAACAATTTGTCACTTAATTACCTGATGGTAAGCATGCTCGTCATGGCAACAATCACACTCATGCGATATGTTAAAGCAATAAAAGCTTACCCCAATTCCTGAGGCGTGCAAAAGAGAAACTAGTTAGAAAAATGCATGATTCTAACTATGTGAAAGATGCCTAATGCAACACATGCAAAGATGCAATTAATAGGCTCAGCTACTAATATGACATTTGAAGCAACTTGATAGTATGCAGTTTCAACACGTTTTCAACCAAGTAATAAACGACAATGCTTTGTTAGAATGATGAACCAAGCCTTGATTCATGCAAGAAAAATGGATGTAAACATGGGGAATGCCAAAAGAAACATGATGTTCTAAGCTATCCATCGTAAGCAAATAAATAAAGGGGTGAAAGACGCGGGTTTGGAAGGCATGCACAAATA